ATAACAGGCTCATTCACACAAACATCCCATCCCAGGTCTCAGGCTTATAAAGCCCCCACTTCAACACAGGAAACCTGCCAAGGTTAAGCAATCATAGCTACTTTTACCATTAAACCTGGAGAGCAGTGTCCCATAGCCTGCCCTGCAGCTACTAGAAACAAGGGTTCCTTTAAATGCTGCCATGCTGCTCTCACAGTGGGCCTGCAGCTTGTCATTGGCTCCTTTTTTTCAAGGCTTCTAAAGCCTTTTTCAGAAATCAGGCAACTCCCCAGTCCTTACTCTTCCTACTGCCTCTATGCCAAGTGCTACCTGTCACAGATGCTCATGTTTCACCGCAATGGGCACCTCGCCTGCACCTCGAGCCAGTCTTCTACCCAACGGGAGTCTCAGTAACTGTCATGTGACCCCACCAGGCTCATTACCACCAGAAATGGAGTCCTTCCCACCAAGTACACTGGGTAATACCATCCCAGATTCCCACCCTGATGGGCTGCTTTCGAGAATCAGTTTAGGTATCAATCAACTTAGCCTGGATTCTCAATAAAACAAACCAGGGACAATGGCTTGCACAGATGTTGATTTTGGCTAAGTAATTCCAAACAGGAGGGAGGCTGGGAAGAGAAAATGGGAAATGATAAAATGAGGGAAAGACAATGCAAGGTGTGCTATTAGATGTGGGAAGGGACCTCAGTGTTGTCAATCAGAGGAAGGGAAAAGAGAAGAATGTGTCCGGTCTCATCCTTGGTCAGGAGTTGTCCTGTGGTGCAAGCTCTTTTGTATGCCATGAGTAGCTCAGATGTGAGAACAGCCAAGTGGACTCCAGCAGGAGGTCCATGTAGTAGAGAGGCCCTGGGGGCAGGAAGCAGGGGATGCACTGGGCAGCCCAGGCAACTGCTGGTCAGTTCACAGTGTACAATTGKTTTCTGGAGGAAAAAGGCTGAGAAGATGGGAAGAGCATCAGAAGAGCTTTCCAATGCGTGGCAGGTAAGTGCTGTAGTGCAACGTGTAAAATACTGTGGGAACTTGGATGGGAAAGAAGGGACAATCCTTGGGCTTCAAGGTGTGAGTCAAAGTCCTCGGGCTTACTGCAACTGCTCCACCTAGACACTGCTACTTTTCCTTTTTGAATATCAGATTAAGTTTATTCATTATCCTCTGTTCCCACAAAGCCTAACATTCAGAGGAGGAGGAGGAGGAGGAGGAGGAGGGGGAGGAGGAGGAGGAGGAGGAGGAGGAAGAGGAGGAGGAGGAGGAGGAGGAGGAGGAGAGAAAGACGAGAAGGGGCAGAAGAGGAGGAGGAATGATTAAATGGTTTTCTGTGGCAAAAATATTACAATGTTAAAAAAAAAAAGTAGTTTGAAACTAAAAATAAAAAGGCATATTTCTCTCTGGACTGTGACTTATACTTTATTGGAGTTGGGGAAAAGCACAAGAAAGCACCTGAATAAATACACACTGTGTAATCTATTCAGGTGGTGACAAGAGAGACTGCTTCTGCTGCCGAGAACAATTCAGAACAGTGCAAGGAAATGCGTTTGTGCATATTTTAAACAAAGGAATGATTATTCTTTCATGGTCCTGAAATTGAAAAACAAATTTGAAACAGCTATTACTAACACCCATTTTCAAATATCGAGTTTCTATAGTACATTATTTGTTTCTGACTAATGGAAAACTTTCCAAAATTCTGTGGTTGAATGTAGTGTTCCTTACAAAAGAAAATATTTGTATTTTTTTGCTTGCTTGGTATTGGAAAAAGAAAAATATTTCTTATCCAGATGTTTTAAAAACATCTTAGATAAAAGAAATAGGTGAATAGGTTTAGAAAGCTCACAAACCATAATATTCAAATTCAATGCTTTGTATGGGTATGACTATCTGTATTTGTGCTTTATTTTTCCAAATATATAAGTAGTTATGYTTAATATCTGAAGCTATGATTCAAAGTGATGGATTAAAAAATCAGGATACTCTGTCTAATTTTTTCATTTCAATAGCTTTATATTCATTATAAAATGATTTCCAGTGATTTATAAATTAATCAACTGACATTATTTTAAATAGACCTTTTCTATCCGAAACTGGCAGACAGTTACTATATCAAACACCTTAGTTGCTATTATCGATTTTAAAATCATTTTCTGAATTCATCCAAGATGCYTAACACTGCCACCAGGATAGGTGGTCACAAAGACACTTAAAGATTCCTTTTGGAAAAGTCAGCATTTATGTCACACCAGTTCTCTYTGCAGATAGAGAACATATTTAATAAATGAAAAGAAGGAATTGCTGAACCATATTTMACTAGCACCAGTAACTGTTCAATGGATTATTATAAACTCAAATAAACTTAACATTAACTATTTAATTTCCAGCTTATTTTATTTTATTAAGGCATATTTTAAATAAACATCACAAATTTAAATATACATCTAAGAAATGCTGTCAAATTTATGCAGCATATGTTGACAAAATTATGTAAAACACCACAATCATACCAGATCATTCCCTTGTACTCCTCTTCCAGGCAAACTGAATCCCCTGCCCTCACCCACAGGAATTACCATTCTAATATCAATAACCATATGCTAGTTTTACCTATAATTGATCTTAACAATAAAAATTATATAGTATGTTATTCTGGGTTATTTTGTTCTATAAAACTTTTGAGCTTCATTTAGGTTGTTACATGTATCAGGACTTCTTTATTTATTTTATTTATTTTTATTTGTTCTGATTAGTTATACATGACAGTAGAATGCACTTTGATAAATCATACAGAGATGGAGTATAATTTCTCATGCTTCTGACTGTACATGATGTAGAATCCCACCAGTCATATGTTTATATATTTACATAGAGTAATAACATCTAATTCATTTTACTGTTCTTCCTATCCCCACATCCACTCCCCTCCCTTCACTTCCCTCTGCCTAGTTCAAAGTACCTCTATTCTTCATCCACACCTATTGTAAATTAGCATCTGCATATCAGAGAAAACATTTGACCTTTGGTTTTTTGGAATTGGCTTATTTTGCTTAGCATGATATCCTCCAGCTCCACCCATTTACCTGCAAAGACCTCTACAATGAAAACCTATATAGAACACTAAAGAAAGAAATTAAATAAGACCTGAGAAGATGGAAATACCTACCATGCCCCTGGATAGGCAGAATTAATATTGTCAAAATGGCCATACTACCAAAAGCATTATACAGATTCAATGCAATTCCTATTAAAATCCTAATGACATTCTTCATAGAATCAGAAAAAAGCAATCATGAAATTCATTTTCAAAAATAAGGGACCCAGAATAGCCAAAGTAATCCTTAGCAAGAAGAGTGAAGCAGGAGCAATCACAACAATAGACCTTAAACTATACTACAGAGCTATAGTAACAAAAACGGCATGATATTGCCAAAAAACTGACACAGAGGCCAATGGTACAAAACATTTACTGGAGAAAAGATAGCCTATTCAACAAGTGGTGCTGCTGGAAAAATTGGAAAGCCACTCATGACAGAATGAAATTAAACCCCTATCTTTCACCCTGCAGAAAACTCAAAGTGGATCAAAGACTTAGGCACTAGAACAGAGATCCTGTGTCTTACAGAAGAAAAAGCAGGCCCAATTCTTCACCATGTCAGCTTGGGATCTGACTTCCTTCACAAGATTCCTAAAGTGCAAGAAGTAAAACCAAGATTCAATAAATGGAATGGCCTCAAACTAAAAAGCTGCTTCTCAGCAAAGGAAACAATTGAAATATGAAGAGAAAGCCTACAGAATGGGARGAAATCTTTGCCACATGCACCTCAGACAGGGCAGTAATCTCCAGGATATATAATGAACTAAAAAAATGTAACAGTAAAAAAAAAAAACACCCAATAACCCAATCAATAAATGGGCTAAGGAACTGAACAAATACTTCAAAGAAAAAGAAATACAATTGATCAACAAGTACATGAAAAAATGTTCAATATCTTTAGCAATTAGAGAAATGCAAATTAAAACTACTCCACGATTTCATCTCACCCTAGTCAGAATGGCAATTATCAAGAACACAATAGTAAATGTTGGCAAGGATATGGGGRAAAAGGTACACTCATACACTGCCTGTAGGAATGCAAACTGGTACAACCATTATGGAATCTCCATACAACCAGTATGAAGATTCCTCAGAAAACTTGGAATGGAGCCACCATTTGACCCAGCTATCCCACTCCTGTATATAAATACCTAAAGGACTTTTAAAATCAGCAAACTACAGTGATGCAGCCACATCAATGTTTATAGCAGCTCAACTCACAATAACTAAACTATGGAATCAACCTAGGTRCCCTTCAACAGATGAATGGATAAAAAAAAATTCTTTTTTATTTTTAATGACTCATTGACAGCTTGGTCCCCAACTGTGACACCATTGGGAGGTGACAGAACTTTTAGGAGGTGGAGCCTAGTGGAAGGAAGTTAGATCATTGTGGACATGCCCTTAAAGAGGATACTGGGACCCTGGCTCCTTCTTTTCTCTTTGCTTCCTGGACGCCACGGGCAAACATGCTTCTTGTCTCAGTTTTGTAAAAAAAGTAGTCTCTAAGCAGAGTATACTCTATTTCTGTTGGTAAAGAAGAGGAGACAGTACACTGTTGGGTAGGTAACCAGGGGTCTGTCTCCACGAGTAACAAAGCTTCAGTTTTTGGAAAGCTGCTGGTCTTTGAGTTAAGAATGCTGAGAAGGACTAAGTTTGGTGAAGACGCTCACGGATAACTTACTAGAAGCCTTTGAACTGTGAAACATTACAACACAAAATTTTAAGATTCTGTAATAGAATTATTTGCCACTTTGAAAATAAAATAAAGACATTTTAACATCTTGATTAATGGTACTAAAATGTCAATATGAATCTGTTAATTCTGTAAGTAATTTTTATAATTATGATGTAACTCTATCTTATCCTTAAAAGATTTAAAATAAAACCTTTATATGCAAAAAAGTCACTTATTTGTAAATGAAAGTAGAGTCCACTGCCTGAATATAAGACTACTTCATTTCTTTCTGAACAGTCATAAACAGTCTCAAGTCAGAAAAAAACAGCTGTTTACATAACTCGTGTATCTTAGTGACATCTTAACAGATGTAGACTTCTTGTTCAACTGAACCAGGACAATGTTTTCTACTAACTTCAAGAATGGATAGTAGATTCATAGAAAAAAAATACTCTATATTACTTGGAGCTTAAAAATTTGCAGTTAAGATTTCTTAGTGTTAGGCTGGCTAAAATATAAAGAAATGGGGAGATAAATAATGATTTTGATTGACAGAATAGGGATTTTGGGGTGACAGTGATATAGGGCAGAAGGTAGAATGACTGGACTGAATGACTCTGAGAAACATTTTAACTAAAGATAAAATCATCTATAAACTCTCTATTTTGTTAATCATACACAATCTTCCACAGAGATACTACATTTATGGTGACCACTAAGAAAATATTTTTTTGTTGAAAAGCGTCCATGGTGTCTGAAAGAGACTGTACTTATTGATTTACCTTAAAAGGTATAGAGGAACAATGACTGATATAATTATTGATTGTACGCCTGTACGTCAGGTTTCTCTATTAGCCACAGGTCTGATTCTGGTTGTCTCCATTCTTTTCCAAACAGTGTGTTAAAAGTAAAAGGCTTGAAATATTCTAGACGATGGCTAAAAGCAAAGAAAAGGTGGGAGTTGAAATGAATTATGCATTTGTGAAAAAGTAGTCCTGAAAAGCTATTTATTTTGTCACATCTGTGATAGGACAACGTTCTATTTTAAGAAATACCCAAGGTAATATATGTTCTATATGTACAATTTTCTCATTCTAGCTATCAAACATTCAGCTCTCAATACATTCACCTATTTTTCAAAGCACTCTCCTTTCAATTTTACAAATATCTCCCTCAGAGTTAAAGGGAAAAATAAAAATCAGCCCTCAAAATCTAACTCATTTCATCTAGCTTTAAACGAATCATAAAATACTCTTGTATATGTTCTGAAATGCAAACTTTGATATAATTTATATCAGTCATATAGGCAATAAAAAGTTTCAACTCCATGTTGAAGGACAGACTTAATTCCCTTCTTTGCCGAAGCTAATGAGGCCGATGTGTGAGAGTGCTCATCTTTCTCTTTTCTTTCCAGAAGAACCAAACATAGGGAGGTATTTGCTGGTGAAGAGCCAGAGTGAAGTGCCATCTTGGTATGTAGGCCCAGAGTCAGCTACACCTGGATGTCCATCCCTTTATGCCCACCTGGCCAGGATGGACCAGTTTTAGAATAAAATTAATGATCCCAGAGTAAGAAGTTAAAGAAACAATAGTGAAGGATGAGAGAAAAAGAGAAAGAAACTAGGTAGGAATGATCAGGACTGGAAAAAAAGCAAAGGTAAGTCGCAAAAGCGAGCCAGGTAGAATAATCTATAAAAGATGAAGGCAATCCTAGAGCTTAAACATGGATGTGCACCTGAGGCACTTCCGGATCCGGGGGCCTAAACATGGACTCTGAGGAACTTCCGGATCCGGGGGCCTAAACATGGACACCCGAGGAACTTCCGGTCCTAGAGCCTAAACATGGACGTGCACCTGAGGAACTTCCGGTCCTAGAGCCTAAACATGGCTGTGCACCTTTGGAACTTCCATATCCGGGGGCCTAAACATGGACGTGCACCTGAGGAACTTCCAGATGCTACGGCCTAAATGTGGAGGACTGAGGAACTTCCAGTCCTAGAGCCTAAACATGGAGGTGCACATGAGGCACTTCCGGATCTGGGGGCCTAAACATGGATGTCTGTGGCACTTCCAGATCCAGGGGCCTAAACATGGATGTGTGCCTGAGGCACTTCTGGATCCGGGTGCCTAAACATGGACCCCCGAGGAACTTCGGGTCCTAGAGCCTAAACATGGATGTGCACATCAGGCACTTCCGGATCTGGGGGCCTAAACATGGATGTGCGCCTGAGGCACTTCCGGTCCGGGTGCCTAAACATGGACGCCCGAGGAACTTCGGGTCCTAGAGCCTAAACATGGATGTGCGCCTGAGGCACTTCCGGATCCGGTGGGCCTAAACATGGACACCTGAGGAACTTCCGGATTCGAGGGCCTAAACATGGACGTGTCTCTGGAACTTCTGGGGCCTTGTGCCTATAAAGGGCAGGGCGTGACTCTCAGAAGGGACATGGTCCATGAAGAGAAGCAGAGCATGGGGCCTGTTGGGCGGCAGACTGAGCTGTTGTACCCTGAACTTGATGACGGTGGCCTCACTTCCTGGTCTTCCCTTGGGTGTCACTTCCTCCCCTTCCAGGGGRTGCCGGGGAGGAAGTGAGACCAGGCGCAGGGGCTAGGCCCTGAGGAGGGACACCGTCTTTCTCCTTGCTTAGCCAGGCGCCCGGCCTGGCTGGGGACAGGGACGACTTGTGACACTGGCTGCCTCCTGCAGCCCTGCCCCAGGACCTCAGGGACCATAGGCGGAGACAGTTGTTGATTCTCCCCTGGCTGCTGACCCTCAGTCCTGGGGTCTGCCCAGGGAGAGCTCTGTCTCCCAGAGGGTCAGGGGGCCCCTGTGATCTGCTGCTCCTTATCCACCATCATCCTGGGCGAGCACAGGTCAGGACACCAGACGCTACTGAAAGTGACATCTCCTTGATGGGTGGCTGGATACTTTGCCTCTGTCCCCAGGCCTCGGACACCGGATGATTCCCCACTCCCCAGAGACTGAAAATAACCCCACACTGYCCAAGACTTATTTTTAAGCTTTGGATTCTGAAATTTTCCTGCTGCCACCTTCTTTGTGAAGCCAGTTTTTCAACAGAGACAATATTGGGGGGGGGGGAGGGGGGCGGACAACAACATTGAGTGAATCAAACCAAGCTGACACATCTGGTCCTCCAAGAGAAATTTGGATTGGAGGTAGAACAGCCATTCTCAACTGGTGAAACAGTGAAGTTCCCTTGTCCTTATTTTGTGTAAGAAAAATAAATAATCTGATGTTACCTCAACAAATTATTTTTGATGAGTGCTTGGCTCATAGGAAAACTGATTCTGTTTTATGGAATGAAGTGTTACCTGATTTTAAAATTAAAAATGAAGCCAATTAGGATTGTTAAACTGAAGAAAAAAAAAGATGAAGACAAGGTAGAGTGAATCAGGAGCATGCCAGCAGGAAGGTGATGAATAGGGAGAGGAAGGACAGTGTTGTACATCCCAAGGGCATATCAGTCTACCCTGGTATCATGCTCACYGGGATGTCTCTGATCAGCTCTTCCCCGCAGACTCTCTTGACCACACTGTGCACACTCAGAGGCAACAGAGAGAAGAAATCAGTTTGCCCCAAGGACAGTATCTGGCCATCCTCCCCAAAGTGGGTAGTCCTTGCAGCCATCCAGGATGAACTACAGAGATAACTGAAGTACAGATTCTTTTGCAGAAGCAAAAGGATTCACTAGTCCTTTGTTCACACGAGGAACCCTAATTCCTCTGGTCCTGTAGCTCTAAAAGGGCTCATAAATGAATTTGAAGCCATATTTCTATAGTAGTTGATGCAACACTTGCTAAACAAAATTCTTCTCATAGTGCTAGAGAAAACTAAGGGCTGCACTAACAGCAGAGAGACTATCAGCCCAAAGGCAACCTGTAATGCACCTACTGAGACCATCACGGAATTCATGACCCACTAGGAGCTGGTACACATCATCTTTGTTGACCAAAAAGTGTCACTAATGCTCCACCAAGAATTAATTCTCCAAAATCTCTATAGTTGTAACATGTCTACATTGATGGTCTACTTACAAGTCAGGTTTCTGTCCTTGCTGCAGTTCATGCTGAGGTACGGGATAAAGGGCTTCGTAACTTCTTTTTTCCTTTGATCCATGAATTGCAAATGCGTTAAATTTTGTCACATTTGGTGGAAAATAGCTCCAAGGAAGATAAGCTCTGCCTTCCCATTTTGTCTCACCTCTGGACACTTTGAAAGATAAAGTAAGTTCTTGCTATGGAAATAACATGTGATACACAAAAGTTAAATTCAGACTTGTACCTTAAACACACACATATTGCTTGCACACTTAAAGATAATGTTTCATAATTTTATTAACTTACTTTCCACACATTTCTTCTTCYAGAGAGTAGTAGCACTAAATGCTGTCCATGGCTGTCAAAATTAAGGTTCCTCATAAGTGTTTGAAAGAAACAAATTTTATTTTTTAATTCTTTTAATGAAAAAGTTTTATTGGTAATGATATCCAAGATGAGGGGACCAAACACAGAATATGCAGAAAAAGAAAGCCTTTACATCACATGAAATGAATATTCTTTCCCTAATCATCTTTCATTTCTGGAATATGTGTGCTTATAAATAAATTTGCAAATAAATAAAAGAAGCAATACAAATATTAGATCATTACAGGGAGAGCCAGTATGTTCAGCTACTTAGAAATGACATCTTTGAGTTTCCATTTCCAGACAATTTCTGTCAAATGCAGACAGTTTCACGTTCTAAGATAGCTTTTTATACACTTTAATAAGAAATAATATAAAATATTTCATTTGGTTTGATGATACAAAGTATGAAAAAGGATATCRCATTTTGTGGGGTTTATAATAAGATAAGTTTCAAAAACTGAAGTGCCCTAAGGGGAACTGGGACCAATTTCCAAGTCTGAATGTAACAACTTTACTAAAGGTTATTTCTGCAAAAAAACGACTTTGATGCTCATTAGGAAGATAGAAAATGCAATCACAGACCGACCAAAACTAGCCAACCCACTAAAGATTTTAATCCGTCTCATTTTTCTCATACAACTACACTTGACCTATGTGCCCTGTGCTTCTTCCAGCATCTACCTGTAGTTCAGACAGCAACGTCACTTTAAAAAACCCCATATATCCTCAAAAGGAATTTCTGATGAGAATGCATAATGGGGATTAGCAGGTCAATAAGAATCCAGAGATTTCACACATTTACATGGAGCAAATTTATTGTTTCTGGAAGACTATCGAACATTTCCACACGATTGTCTTTTGTGATACTGTGAGGGAAGAGCTTCTTCAGTTAAGTTCTCCCCCCTCCCCTCTTTTTGGTATTAAGGATTAAACTCAGGGGCACTTTACCACTGAGCCACTTCCCTAGCCCTTTTTATTGTTTGAGTCAGCTCCTCACTAAGTTGCTTAGGGCCTTGCTAATTTGCTGAGGCTGGCGTTGAACTCAGGATCCTCCTGCCTCAGTCTCTGGAGTCACTGGGATTACAGTTGGACAACACAATGCCTGGCTTCAGGTAAGTATTCTACCAGAATACTTAAATTTTAAATATAAGTATTTAAAATTCTCTGATTATTTTTATTGTTTTTATGTAGCCTAAGGAATATCCTATGAGGAGTAAAATTTCTTACAAATTAAAACAATGATACTCTTCATGTTATTCTCTTAGAAGTTAATGAACCATTATAGGAATTGGTTGCCTGAGGAAAAACTATGACACTTGATTAGCTTTCCTGTTCTATATAAAACCAAACTATTCTGAGGATTTTAATTTTTAAAATTTATTAATTTTATAGGCAATGTCCACTGTGTTGTTTCTTTTTTTTTTTTAGAGAGAGAGAGAGAATTTTTTAATATTTATTTTTTTAGTTTTCGGCAGACACAACATCTTTGTTTGTATGTGGTGCTAAGGATCGAACCCGGGCCGCACGCATGCCAGGCGAGCACGCTACCGCTTGAGCCACATCCCCAGCCCTGTGTTGTTTCTTAACAACAACAAAAGAATCTGATTAGACTACAGTGTTATGTCATCACTTTACCAAAATAAACCAATATTATCATGTAATAAAATTAAAATTAAGGATTGAACTTGAGAGTTCTGGCAGCTCCAATTTCTTTACTTTATAGACAAATGATAAGTGCCTTAGCTTTTCTGTGTACAGAGTGAGAACAATCACACAGTAGTTGAAATTACCTTACCTTCCATGACAGTTTACAAGAATTCAACATATTTTCCAATAAAGATTTTGTCGTGTTAATAAAGAGATGACACACAGAGACATATAATTGTACTTCTTTTTAAAAAAAATTTCCACACTAGCGTTAGTAAAAAATCAAGAGGAGGGAAAATTTTAAAAGATATCTAAAACCTCATTTAGAAGAATTGTTTACAGCTCTCTGAATAGTCCACTAAGGAATAAAAACTACTGGATATTGATACTGGGAGGCGTCTAAATGGCATTTGAAATTAATAATAGCAATATGTAGGGCTATTTTGTTCATTAAATACTTTACTAATTAAAATCTGCTATAATTTAGATGGCAAGTGAACATACTTTACTTTTTCACATCTATAAGAATAAAAAAAATACAGTTTGTCAACAAGGTAGAGAAGTTTCCCAGGGAAATAAACTTCAACAAAGACACTCCAACATTAATATTTTCTGTGAGTCTAGGAAAATCTATGTCACTGAATAAAAACTTGTCATAGTACATACTAGAAAAAAGAATGATGAATAAAGAATGGAATACATAAATATACAGTTATACAATATATGAAATTAAAATTTAATATATTTATTTTAAAGTCCCCTAAAAGAAACATTTTTGTGAGTTACATTCATTATATCTACATGCCTCCCTTTATTTAGAGTGTTTGATATATAATAAAACAAATGTATAGAGTAAACTATGAGGGAATGAGTTTTTGTTTTATAATTTTTTATTTTGCAAAAAAAATTTCTTTAAATTGATCACAAAAATTAACAATATTAGTGAATTAAAAGTTACATTGATATAATATATTCAAACACTTTGAAATATGTGTTTTAAATATATATTCTGAATATAAGCTTTGTATTTGACAATAAAAGAAATGCAAGTTAGCATTGTCTCTAATAGCTGGAATCAGTGAGCTCTACTATAACCATATGATTTATAATTTTAAAATAATGTGTTCAAATTATGTAGTAATGATTAAGAAAAAAATATTTTATACTTACGGACAAAGTTCAACTTCTAAATACTGTTCAGTTACATCATTCAAGAAAAATACTTCCACGACTTTTGAAAACAGAGATAAGACATATTGAAGAAATTAATTTTGCTTCAACAATACTTTTGTATACCTTTAGAAAAAAATTAATTACATTTAAAAAAATTATTATACTATCCTCAATAAGAAGAGGGGTTAAATAGACATTGCCTGCAAGAAGAAATACATAGGAAATAAGTCATCATCAATTCTTTTCCATATCATATTGCCATAAATTAAAAAGATTTATTAAACCTACTGTTGGTGAGGTCACAGAGAAGTCAACATTGTCACATAGACTTAGTTGCAGTTATCTCTTTTTAGGAATTTATCCTAAGGAAATAATCAGACAACTAGCAAAAGATGTTAAGTACAGCTTTATGCATCAAAGTATTACTTGAAAAATAAAAATGATGAAAATTGTTATCTCCTCTTACATAGGATTAGCTCCYATTTTTCTAAATAAATCTCTTATCATACAGAAGAACTGATAAATAAATCATGAAATTTATGTATGCCATGCAATGGAATACAATGGAACCATTACAATCAAAGATATAGTTAAATATTTGTTGGCATGTGTTATAGGTTAGACATTAGGTACCCCTTAAAAGCTCAAGTGTGAGATGATACAAGAGGTTCAGAGGAAAAATGATTGAGTTATTAGAGTCTTAATCCAAGAAATAGATTAATTTCCTGGTGGGATTAATTTAGTGATGACTATAGGTAGGTATGTGTGGCTGGAGGAGGTGTGTCCCTGGGGGCTTGCCTTTGGGGTATATATTTTGTATCTAGTTAGGGGAGTCTCTCAGATTTCTGATGGTCATGTGAGCTGCTTCCCTCTATCACACTCTTCCTCCAAGATGTCCTCCTTCCCTTCAAGCCCCAAGGAATGGAGCCAGMTTCTAAGGACTGAGACCTCTAAAACCATGATCCTTCAAATAAATTTTTCCTCCTCTACAATTGTCCTGGTCAGGTCTTTTAGACCCAGCAGTGAAAAAGCAGACTAAAACAGTATGGGAAGCTATCCATGATATTTGACAGGTAAGCTGCAGAGCATCTGTCAAATGTACATGCAGTTAAAATGTGCACAAGTGCCTATGGCTAGAGGTCTGCAAAATGTGCACAAAAATGTAAAGACTCTTTATCTGTGATTGTGGAATATGGGTCAGTGATTTTTTTWAAATTATTATTATAATCTTCTGGAGTTTCCTAGGTATGTGGTTTTTTTTTTGGGGGGGTGAGATACCGGGATTGAACTCAGGGGCACTCAACCATGGAGCCACATCCCCAGCCCTATTTTTTTGTATTTTATTTATAGACAGGGTCTCACTGAGTTGCTTAGCCCCTCACTTTTGCTGAGGCTGGCTTTGACTTGCTCAGCCTCCCAAGCCACTGGGATCACAGGCATATGTCACCGCGCCTGGCATATTTTTAAAAATTATTTACTTATGAAAATACTACATATTTCCTGTAAATAATTAAGAYAATACAAACACATATGAAGTAAAAAGCCAAAGTGTTTTTTACCCCTTTGGTCTTAAACCTACCAGGATTTTTTAGTCTTTCTACAAACTATTTTACCTTTYTAGATTTTTAAAAAATAAAAATAAAATCATATTTGCCTAGAACTTGTTTTCATAAAAATCTTTCCAGCATATGAATATATTCTTTTAATGACCACATTATTTTTCTACAGAATGTTATAATTAATTCATCTAATCCTTTATCAGTAGACATTTAAATTGTTTCTAATGGTTCATGTTATTTTTACAATACAATAGCTAAGATACAGTTCCATTAAGAATTCTGAGAATTGGATTATCCCTCTCTAAATCTTTTACTTAACCAAATTAAAATGTCTACTGTGAGGACTGGGGATATAGTTCAGTGGTATGGTGATTGCCTTACCACGCTACAAGCCCTGCCCTGGGTTCAATAGCCAGCACTTAAAAAAAAAAAAAAAAAAAAAAAAGAAGAAAGAAAGAAAAGAAAAGAAATGTTTACTATAGTGGTTACTTTTATTTATCAACTAATCCACAGTACCCAGGTATTAGGTCACACATTATTCCAGATGTTCCTTGATAGTATTCTGTAAGATTAGCATTAAGATCATCAGACTTTTAATAAAACAGATCATCCTTACAGTGTRGGTAGGCCTCATTCAACCAGCTGAAAGTCTTAATAGAAGAAAAAGACCAACTGCTGAAAGAATTCTGCCATCAGAGAGCCTTCAAATTTGAACTGCAAAATCACCTCTTCCCCGGGTTGCTAAGCCCCTGCCCTGCAGATATTGGACTTGCCAATGTCTACACCTGTGTAAGACAATTCCTTAAAGCAAACCRTTGCCTTCCCCTTGCCAACAGACGCTTTCTTATTTCTACTATCCATCATCACCTTTCAAACACTTTTGTGGCTTCTCTGTACTAAACACAATATCAGATTCTACAAGTACCTTGATTAGCTCACAATCTAGTCTGACACTGAGTTGGAAAATTTTTAAAAATTTAAAAATAGAGGGGCATATATGTTGTTATAGGAAAATAGACTATTAGCTGAGGTGGGGAGGATTGATTTAGCAAAGAATTCCTAGAGATGGTGCTAGCTAAACTCCATCTTGTAAACTGAGTTGGAAATGGGTGAAGAATGGTAAAAACAGCATTCTGGGGGACAGGGCCATAGACTCAAAGGCACACAACTAGGAAAAATTGGGATTTAAAGAACAACAATTCAGTCTTACTTGGCAAAATGTAGTAAAAACTGGTAATGCTACAGAAAGAATAAGGGCTGGGTCAAGGAAAACCTTGCACAGAGATCATATTAAGAAGGGTAAAATTTATCTTGAGAGGATAGGGAGCACAAAAAGGTTTTAACTGATGGATGAGTTTAAATTTTCATTTTAGACAGATCACTCTGCTTCTGAGTAAAGGGAAAAAGGACTAGAAAGCTATACCCTAATCAAAGATAGAAGATGAGAAAGGCCTAATCCACAGCAAGGATGATAGGGATGAAAAGGAAGCACTGAATTAGAGAAACTGATAGGCCTTAGTGAATAAATCCAAGTATGGATATGAGAGAGAGGAATATATTGGAAAGATCTTACAATTTTCATATTTGATGATTTGAGTTATTGTTAGTTTCATTGATTGAGATCGGGCAATTAGGGAAATAAATAGGTTTATGAGAAAAGTAGATGAGCTAAGATTAGGATCTGTTGAGTTTGGTGCCTATAAGTATCTAAAGAGAAGTCATATTGGTGTGTTTACTATGAGAAAGCTAGTATACAAATTTTATATCAATAAAAAAAGGTAAATGCTTAAAATATGACACACTAACACTGACAAAGGCATGCTACACAAAAGGTGAAAGAAAGATGTTAGCATTAACTAGAAGATTCATTAAAACATCTCTGAAGAAATGGAATCTAAATTACACCTGGAACTACGTGCATTAGAGGCAGAGAGTGCAGAATGAGACCATATGTGGGTGAGAATATGTTTGGGCGATAAGACCATTAACCTTAAAGAAGTTAAGAGATTTTGGTTGAACATGGAGGCCCAATTCATGAGTGTACAGAAAGCTTACAGGAATGGTTTGGAATTTATCCTAGAAATATTTATAATGGCTTATGATCTGCAGAATGGCATCATTAAGCATTTCAGAAAGATTAATCCAGTAACTTGATTAGGAAGATATTATGGTTTAGATATAAGGTGTCCCCTTGTGTGTTAGATAATACAAGAGTTTTCAGAGGTGAAGTGACTGGGTTATTATAGCCTTAATCAGTGGATTAATCCACTTTATGGATTAACTGGGTGGTAACTGTAGGCAGGTGTGGCTGGAAGAGATGGGTCACTGGGGGCATGCCTTTTCCATTTATATTTTTCCCTGATGAGCAGAGCTCTCTCTGCTTCCTAACTGTCATGTCCTGAGCTGTTTTCYTCCTCCACACCATTCCACCATGATGTTCAGGCCCAGAGCAATGGAGCTGGCTGTCTATGAACTGATACCTTGAAACTGGGAACCAAATCAACTTTTCCTTCTCTATAATGTTCCTATCAGGTCTTTTAGTCACAGTGCCAAAAAAGCTGACTAAAACCAATGAAGCACAGGATATCACAGAATAAACCTAAAATCATGTATTTTTGTGACATGTTTTTTAGCCTTAATTTGATATGTGAGATTACTTGCCAGTATGAAATAAAAATTAAATTTCATGTTGGGGTTGACATTGTTTCTACAATAAGTAAAACATCCCAAAACTTCCATAAAGGTTTATAAAGCTTCAATGATAATTTGAAGATAAAGGCAAAATAGCAATTTCTCAACTCCTCTCAGAATAGGAAATATGGCAGCAATCTAAAAATATGGATTTGTAATTGCCATTTTTCACTGTTCTAGTTATATAGCTGAAGTCACATAGGTAATAGAGAAAGAGTCAGAATGAGAGATGCGTAGGAAATAGCAGACACTGCACAGTCAGCCACTCAGAGCACTGCACTCCCTTGCTAGCAACAAGATAAAATAATAGTTCTGTGAGAGGCTATTATAAAGAGATTTATGTTTGTAATAAAATACAGTACTTCCACTTACCTTCGTAATCCCACAGTCCATTGAAAGGCTTTCCTGGTTCTCCAAGTGGGGCTGGAGGATCGTTGAAAAATGGGGCACTGACTTCCACCATCACCCCTCCCTCACCTGGATTCAGCCTGACAAATGCCGGCTCATGCTTCACTGGAAAAGCATCCCAAGAATGTTCGATTTTAAAATCCATCTAGAGACCGTGAAGGAAGAAACATATTAAAATAAACTCTTTCACGAAATACAAAAGCTTCCTTTAGTTAGAAATTAAATGAAAATTTCATTACCAAATAATAGGAGGGCAACTTAGTACAAGAACAGGGTCCTGGGAGTCCAAAGGCCATCAGTGTTTTGGCAAGTCATGAAACCCAAGTTCTATTCTAAAACAGCTTGTAGGGAGGGTCCTAAAAGCTTTGAGACTTGTTTGATCTAGATCATGGTCTAGTTTCCTCATGAAGAATGTGATAAAATCATTTTCAAAAGTTCTAATTCAGTCCATGGCAGAACTTGTTAATATACTTAACAATAAACACTATGAATTTATATTTTCTCCTGTGTCTTTTTTCACTGTAAAGTACATAGAATTCTGAGTTACTATATCCTCTGGAAATCAAGATCATTATAAAAAATTCAACTTGATAAAAATCATTATAAATCAGTAGAAGCTGTACTATTCTTGTGGCTAAAAACTTTTTCTTTGAGGTCAGGGAAGACTCCAACAATTTGAAGATTAGTAGAGCTGAATTTTGTCTTCTTTTTTTCCAGTATAGATATACATATTTTTATGCCTTTTCAATTTCTGACACTTCAATTACTAAATAACCTCTTGTTTGGTTAATCACTTCACTACAACTGAAAAATGGGAACTGTCATTTAAACTTTGAAATAGACTGAAACAAACAGACTTTGCATTTTTAATTATTTTTGCAAGTTTCCAATGGAAGGACATAGTATTAGATCAGAACATTTGCTGAACATCATGAGTCCATCACTTTGTAAACATTATGCCATTTAATGTCACTACAAACTTGAARAGGAGCTATTATTATCCTCATTACAAATGAAGAAACAGACTACTCCAAGATCACATAACTAGCATGATTAGCAACCGGACCAATGTCAGCCATGTTTTCCCAAAGACACTGCAGGAAAAAAACTTTATTTTAGAAGTGGTGGATTCTCCAAGTTATTACTGGTTTCTATATCTTACCCAGAAGATAATCCTGATTTAGTATCTGATGATATTTCCAAACTGTAACTTCCCTTATCTGCAATCTCTTAACGAATCCCCTTGATTCATGTTATTTTTATATCAAGGAATGAAGTTATTAAATGTGAATGAATTTAATTCAATCAATACATGTTCTACTATGTGCCAAGCAGTGGGAGGCCATATAGCTAAGCTCTGTGTCACAAGGATCCAAGATCTCTGTAATCCYTTCTCTAAAGTATGCAGTTCTGCTAACTTTCATCTCTAACAAATTTTAATAAGCTCTAAAATTAATAGTTCTTTTATTACAATTCATAAAAAACTGATAGCACTTCAGAAGAAATGTTCAGTAATTCATATTCTTCACTACTGAAATAGGCTCAAAGAGCACTAAGACTATAAACTGACTCTGATTTATATGGAATGTAGTCTTGGAATAAAATAGCTCAAAGATAAATTTATCTTCTTTAGTTGAACCATCAGGGACAATTCTACAAAAATAAATGTATAACTCCCCATCCAAATTTTGGTTGGAATAAGTATCCTCTTGAGGCCATAGGAAGAAAAAGAAATACAACTAATCAAGATGTTAAAGTGTGGATTAACTTTGATTCTGGCACCAAGAATGGTGACAGAGTATGCTCTTTTCCTAATTTGGAGCATGACCATCCTGACAATTCTGACAAACTATAATATAGCTCATAACTGGGAAGTTCTTATATACTCACTCATTCTTCATACAACCACCATATCCCCCAAAGTGCTGCATGTATTAAAGGGATTCCCTATCCAAATCCCAATACTCAGGCAATTATCTGTATGTCAAAATGGAATAAAACCCAGTTCACTTATATGCTCCTAAAAGTGGCCTGTCACTTCCATGTACACAGAGTGAGCAAACATACTTTGTAGGTTTCAAATTACTTTAAAACCTAATCTTAATCTTGAAGATAAGAACCAAAAAAAAGCAGAGATTTTCTTTCTGTGAATGAGGAAGTGACAGCTCCAAACCTTTCTACTGGGCTGTTGTTTTGTTTTGTGTTTCCCTTTTCCCCTAAGGTTTCTTTGTGCATTTTTTTTTTTTTTTTTTGAAAACTATTGCAAGAAATAGTGACTAGATTTTCAACAGTACAGAGTAATGCCATGGCTGATTGTTAAGTCCAAGGGCATAAGATAAGTTTGACTTTAATGGTAAAAAATAACTTATTTTTAGGATGACAAATTAATTTTTTAAACTTTATTATTGCTTAAGAACACTCATGTCAATCTAGGTATGACTGACAACTCCCTCAATTCCTGAGTCTTACTTAACTCCTCCTTTCAGTTTCTCTGCCCACATGCTCATTGATTCAAAAGGATTTGATAGCCACTGTCCTTCACCCCTGGCCTCGAATTCCCCTTGGGTCATTCCCTACTGGATTCTCCTTACGTCATTTGCTATTAGGGGTACACTGCTCCATTTTGAATCAGAGAATTGGCCACATCTAGGTACCTGTCAGTAAAAGGAGCTAACTGTTTATCCATTACGTGAATATTGTTTTGGGTTCTGCATCTGGAATTCTATGACTGACAGGCTACGTCCAGGAGAAACCTGTTGTTAGTGRCACCTCATCCCTTTAACACTACACATCAGTACAAGAGCTAAAAGGATGATTTCTCATACCCAGGAATTCCCTTTCCTTAGTYCACTAAGCTCTTATCAAGCACTCATTTTGTTTGGATACATGCCAGGTGCTGGGGAAATATGTGGAAGAACTCTATGGGGAGTTTGGGATGATTCTCAGAGCAATCAGCCAGGTCACCACTTCCACTATCAACAGCTTCTCTCTGCAATCCAGTGAAATACAATAGGATCCCTTCATCAAACTAAGTCTTAGATGAATTGAAGATTTAAACATAAAATATCAACCTATATAAACACAGAAAAATTTAATCCCTACTAATACAACAAAAAGAGTTTAAAAGAAGATTGTTTTAGTAGAGAAAGCCTTTTAAAATATATTCCCAAACCTAAACACTTGACTCCTTAAAAATAAAAGCAGCAGCCTCCCTCCCCCACCACCAAAAATGAACCTCTCATTAACAAAACCAAAAGAAATCTTGGAAAAAGTATATGTGTTTTATATTTCAAACAAATAGCTATTTTTTAACGCATAAAGAGCTTCTAGAAATAAATAAAACCAACAAAATCCCAACAGAAAAGTGGATTAAAGATATGAACAGCCATTTTACAGAAAGAAAACACAAAATATTCAGTGTCACTAACAATGAAAGAAATGCAAACCAAAACAGTAAATTTTCACTTAGATTGGCAAGGATCAGAAACTTTGATAATATGCTGTGTTAATGAATACAGAAAAAAAAAACCCCACATAACTGCAGTTGGAGTAAAATTGGTACAGCCTCTTGTGAAGAGCAAAAATCAATATCTATCAAAATAAAAATGCAAATATCCTTTGACTCAGCAGTTYTAGTTCTAAGAGTTGTAATACCTGGGCATAATCAAAATGACAACAGTGTAAGTATTTTGTGGTAACACTGTTTAGACTAACAAAATATTAGAAGCATCTTTAYCTTTCTGTAGAGGACAGGCAAAGAAAGTATGCTATCATAAAATGAAATACTACATAGTTTTTAGAATCAATGAGGCAGTTCTATATGTCCATCTAAAGAATATTGTGAGGTGAAAAAAGCAGGTGTACAATTGTGCAGTTATTTAATAAAAAAGCAAGCTTATCTGCATATATGCTAGTGGTGGTTTTCAGGAAGGATATTAAGAAACCAGTGGTAGAGCTGATTGATTTTCTCGAAAGAATTATCTGCTGGAGACATGAAGGAAGGCTTACTTTCAACTTTATTTTTCTTGTTTAACCTGTTTGAATTTTATACTATAAGTATGCATTGATATTTTAAAATAAATAATTTTAAAATACTTATAAAGTCTAATTTAATGCCAAGTGTCTTAAACAGTATGATGACTGAACATTTCCGAAAAGCCAGAATTAATATTATCAAGGTGATTAAGGTCCTACTCTGTAATTTTAATTTCTTAAAATAGTGTTGTTAATTTGAACTTTTGTGCTTTTAACCTTCGTTCTTCATATTATTCATTCATCAAAAGAAGTAAAAAAGATACTCTTGTCTATTATTTTCATTGCTTTACACTTAATAAGGAAAGACCCTTGAAAGGAAAAGCAGGAAAAGAGAAGCAGACAAAACTCTGGGCCGTTAAGAACGCGGAAGAAAAAAAATATATATATATATACATATATATATATATATATATATATATATATATATATTTCAGAAGGTTTAAAAGAAAGAAGTTAGGAGAAAGGTGCTTCCTTAATAAGCTATTTGCAAGGAGATTTCCAAATTCCTCTCTTGGCAGAGGTCCTCTGGTCATTCAACAACACTTATTTCTTTTCACTTTGCACCCTCCCGCCCCGCTCACTCTTATGAGAAACGGAGAAAGGAGGGAGGCAGCCTGGAAGGGGTGGACTACGCCAGCGGGAGGCGGCGGCGGAGTAAAGCACCTCGCAGGATTTCCCAGGGAGAAGACCGAGACCCGACGGGCGAGCGGGGAGCAGCAGAGCGGCGGCGGCTCGCGAGCGCCCGGACCGGAAGCCGTGCAGCGCCCGGGCCGGCGGGCTCCCGTCGCGCAGCGGCCCCGGGGGGCGTGGCCTTGTCCGCCCGCCGCGCGCACGTCCCGGGGCGGGGCTCGCAGGTCCAGCGCGGACGCCAGGCGATGCTAGGGAGGAAACGCATGCCCGGGCCGCGGAGGAGCGTGTGGCACTGTTCGTCATGCCGCCGAAGTTTGAGCGGTTTTCTAAGGAAGGAAGGTAATTCGGTGCATAAATACTATGCAACGATTCGAAAATCGGCCGTCAGCCGTCCAGGCAGGCGTTCACGGCCTGCAGCTAAAGGCCCTGACCCGTACGTCCAGCTGCTGGTTATGTTAGGCTTCTGCACACCTACTGCACCGTGGGAGACCTCGGAGTGGTGCACACTGAGCAATGGGAACTGTACCTCCTGGGCGCAAATCCCAGCCCAGACGCTTTTAAACTGTGTGATCAGCTTGGAACTTCGCTTAAACSTCAAGCTTTGTGTTCTTTTCCACTTTGTAGTCACATTTTTCATAATGGCCTGCATACAGTACTAGATGTCAGTTGATTGAATGAATTCATAAGAGTGAAATCTGTCACTGATTTTCAATCTATATGATTTTCAAGGGTTTTTTTTTTTAATGAAGAAAAGTAATATAAAACCATGACATGGTGGTTTGAGAATAAACATATAATAAGTCATTTTCTTTTCCTCCTCTCATTCACAAGAGAGTTTTACATTCACAGTTACTTTCCATGCACATTCACTGAATTCTTTAACTCATGAGAGAAAAAAAAAAAAAAAACCTTTATGATAAAGCCTGGAAACAAATCATGGATTAGTTTGATGAAGATTGCAGGAAGAATTTGAGAGCTTTGGTGGCACCTACCTTTTGGTGGCACCTACCTTGGGGAAAAGTGGATAGGGCGCTCAGGAGAAGATTTAATAAGGAGAAAGACTACATAGGATACTTTAAGGATAAATAGAACCATTACAATTTTGTTTACTAATGATGAAAGTTATTTTGAAAATACTCTTAGAATCCAAGCACTAAAGTCTTGTAACATAAAATATAAGTAAAAACCAAGAACTATGGTTTGTGTTCACTTTCATCACAATCACATGAGCCAAACAATTAAAAATGTAGACAAAAATATTTCCCATTTCATTATTCAGTTTATTTGAAAACAACACATCATTTACACCCAGAAGGAACTCTGCTTTTASTCACACTTTTTTAATCTGTAAGCTTTGAGTGTAAATGTAGTTAAATCTACAAGGACTGGCTTAATATCAAATTAAATCACAATATGACAACATACAAGGTTCAAATGTAGGAGAAGTTATAAGCAAGTCTTTGGTCAGTCAGTGAGAAGTTCATGAAGAGTCACTGAACTTTAAGAAAGAGTTGGAGCTTGCACATTCAATTTTCCCTTTTAATAAGTTTTTGTGTTAACTTCATGGCCACTAAAAACCAGAACATGTTCAATCTTAACTGACTCAAACCCAATTAAATCTTTCTGTCGTTATTGCCTAGACACACATATTTAACAGTCTTTAGAAGAAAGAACAATCTCATTTTCTTAATAGTTAGATGGAGTAAAACATGTAACAATCCTCAAATACCTAATTGGACATACTTGAACATATTTTTTAAATGTCTTGATGAATTTTGCTAACATTATTTTGTTTATATGACAGTGTGAATGCAGGGGAAAAAAAGACTTCTTAAATTGTTAAACGGAAAACCAAATCAAGGTGCATTTATGACACGTTGGTTCAGTGGAACTTTATTTCAATCCACAAAAATACTATTAAACGGCACTAAAACTAGCGGCTATTTCAAGTTAAGTTTTTATTACTAGTGTTATAATTTCTTCCAATGTTATGTGTCTTGTGAAAAAAAAATGGTTCAAGCTCAGACAGAATTACTTTTTAAAACTGGACATTAATCTATCCACAAGTGTAAATTTTACTTATTTTTTTTTTCTTGCACAAAATGTAAATTTTCTCTTTCCTTCTATCTAAGGAAACCAACATCTTGGAAGAAATAACTGCTAACTGTGCAGGATCTTCGGGGTACTTCGGAGTGCATACCTTATCACCACAGAGTTAAATATTCAGACAACAGCTGTGTTCTTTCTCTAAAGACCCACGAGGAGCAGACCGTACTATCTTCCGGAGATGAGCAAGTCCGTGCCCCGAAATACTCGAGAGGGGCAGCCTGATGAGGGAGTCTGACAGTCCGGGTTCCCCCGCAGCGGTGGGAACCTACATGCTTTCAACTCCTTTGGCAGGTGGATGAAAAGCGGGCTYTCCCAGTCCAGAAATGCTCAGAATATCCGCAACTGGAGATGCCCAGGAATTTAAAATAGGGACCTAATGCGCTGACCACCTGGCGCCACCCGCCCGCGCGCTCGCCGGCCGCGATACTAGGGTGGCTCAGCCTGCTGTCAGCCAGGTTCCCACGGACCCGCCCACCTCTTGACAGCCAGCCAATAGCGTGCAGGGGCCGCAGGAAGCGCGGTGACGTGAGCGCTGACGCCCGCGTGATGACGGAGGAGGCGTCGCCGTCTCCAAGGAGCGGTCCGGGGCACCGGTTTCAAAGTCGCAGGGCGGGCCGAGTGGACTTCCGCTGCTGGCCCGGGGCTTCGTGGAGGTCCCAGCGTTGCCCCTAGCTTCGCGAAGGTCGCCGCCGCAGAACCGCCCGCCCGCCCGTCCCTTCGGCGAACGCGCAGGCGGCCCGCCGGACCCCGAGAGACCCGCGGGACACCTCCGCACCCGGGTCCCCCTCGCTCCCGGTGGGATTCGGCCGAACGTGCAGCGAGTCCACTTGGCGAGCCCGCAGCGGCTCTGAAATCTGAAGTGTCCGCCCGGGCGCGGGGCTCGCTGCGCCTCGGGGCCGGACACGCGGCCGGCGGCGGGCGCTGCGTGAGTGGGATGCCAATGCCCAGCTCCGGCGCCTGACAGCCTCGCGAGCGCGGCCGGAGTGGTGTTTTCCCGCATCGCGAGCTCGGAGCCAGGGCAAGGTGCTGGAAGCTCCCAGCTGAAACTGTATCGAAATGGCCACAGAAGTCGACCCTCTGGGAGACCAAAGTAAGCTCCACATTCCTTTATGGGGAATTCGTAAATGATGCCGAATGTCGTCATCGTGAACCAGGGTGTTTTGAATGCCTGCTGGGTCCCAGCGTGGACATTTGTAAGAAGTTAAAAGAAGTTAGCTGCATAAAAAGCGTGGTGATGTGTGCTCGAGGATGGGCAGAGCGTTCCGTCAGTGCTTGAAGGTTTACTTCAGCTTACTGGGACGCTGAACGTGTTTGTTATGCGCCTCTTGTGCTCCGAAGGAATGAGAGGGCTACTGGCCAGGAAGGGTTTCCAAGTCTGCTGAGAACTGAGAACCCAGAGGCACAGCACTCGCCTTTTGTTTAGAGGATGTTCATTGAACTACTGTTTCTGTTATGTGCCAGGCACTATACAAGCAGAGATGAAGAGAACAGTGTTAAATTCTTGGAGGGAAATATATGAATCCCACAGATACATCAAAGTGGCAGCAACTGCTGGCTCTCTAATTATCAGTTTCCTCATAGGATAATTGGAATTATTAAATAGGCATCAAAATACGTAAAGGGTTTAGAGTAGTGTCAGATACATTGTGCTAAAAATATTATTATTAAACTATTGTCAAGGAAATGCTATTTGGGCCGAAACTCGAAGTATCAGCATAATTTTGTGTGTGTGTGTGTGAGAACTACATAGATATCCCAAATAGTACAGTGTTTGCAGTATTGAAGGATTAAGAATACAGTTTGTTTAAAGATTTGCAACAAGGTTGGCATGAATGGAATATGGAGGTTTATATAGGGAAATAGTAAGTGGTATTGAAGCGCAGGAATGGAACTGGATGGTCAAAGGCCTTGTCTTCCATGTGCTGAGGAATTTGGATCATTGCATAGGTTATATATAATAACACTGCAAGGAATTCAGTTGAAATTGACAGGATCGAATTGTGATTTGGAAAGGCCAGTCTGGCTGTTTTGAAGGACTTGCTTGATAGAAGAATGCCATCAAGTAACTGTTGTCATTATTCAGGTAAGAACTGAATTAAGGCAGATGCAGATAGATTGAAGATCAAGGAATTTGGAAGGAGGAAGGGGGCAACTCAAGTTTTTGGCTTTAGCAATGGGAATGGTAGAAAAAAGGCTGTAAGTTCCATTTTGGAATCATAAGCCAGTGGTTAAGAATTTAGCCTCTGAGTTTAGTCTGTGTGGGTCCTTAGTATTCCTCACTCTGCCTCTTTTCAAGTCTTTGGCCTTGGGCAAGTTTCTTAGCTTCTTTGAGCCTGAGTTTACTCATTTCTAAAATTAGTATATAAACACAACAACCCTTATGAAGTTCTGAGACTTAGATGATGCAAATAAAGCCCTTAGCATGATTTCTGGTTTATATTACATACAATACACACACAGTGTCTAACATAATTGACAACACTGTAATACTATAACATTAGCATTAGAAATAACCCTGCTCTGTAGTATGACTAATGGGCCACCATCTGAGTGATGTGGGACAGGAATCACATGGTAAGGAGATTGGCTAGGGTGGGGAGAATACCTGAGTTTTAGAAAGAATGAATTATAGAAGAATGAGCCAGTCATAATTCTTAGATAAAACTGAGATCTAAATACTAGACCAATAACCAAATAAGACAGTCAAAGCATAGTAATTTACTTCTTGAAAAATGAGAGCTAGTTAAGAAGACAGGTGGAGCGGAGGAAGGAAATCTCAAATAGAAGAAGAAAAGATTCACAGTCTTGAAATAACTATTTATGCATGAAAGTGGAGCATAGAATGGTAGGGTTTGCATGAAGACATGAGAATGAGGGTCTATGACCCTTCTTCTTTTTCCTTTAAATATACCTTACATGCCAGTTAAAGGGGATAGGTTACCCCACTAAGAGAACCAACCTATACACAAGCTCAGACAGAGTAGATGGGTTCTGTCTTCCCACCTGCCTCTCACCTTCTCTATATTGACTTCCATGGATCTTGATTTCTTCTTTTCATTTTTTCCATTTGAATTTGATAGTCTCATTCAAGACGGTTTTGTTTGGTTTGGTTTGGTATTTTTGATGTGGTAGCTCTACATTACATTCCCTGTAAGAATTACTTTTTCATCTTTACATGTGATAAGCACAGACTACTCTATATCCAGTCATTCTTCTAGTAGAGTAAACTTCTAGCATATTGGCAGTGTACCATTTTCCACCTCCATTTGGAAAGGGGGGTCTGATAGTCCTTAAGGGACCTGTTCAAAGAGGGACTTTTTAAAAATCAGTTTGAGGAACAATGTTTTCATTCCTGTAGGTATGGTCAGTGATGTACTCATTTTTTTCTTTTCATTCTCCTAACTGTGCCTTTATTAGAGCAGAAGTTTTTAATTTGTTTCTTTTATGAGTTGTGCTTTTGGTATCATATCTAAGAAATCATTGCCTAGTCCAGGGCTGCAAGATTTTCTTTAAGAAGTTTTGTAGTTTTAGGTTTTATGTTTAGATCCACTGTTAAATAGTAAAATTTTGTCCAAGGTATAAGGTAAGAGTCCAGGTTCACTTTTTTTGTGTGTATGTGATTGCTCAATCAAAAAGACAATTATTTCTCTACCAGATTACTTTTGTACCTTTGCTAAAAATCAGTTGTCTAATATGTGTTGATTTATTTCTGAACTCTGTTCCACTGGTCTATTTGTATACCTGGACACTAGTACCCCACTATCTTGATTATTGCAGCTTTATGATAACTCTTGAAATCAAAGTTTAAGTTTGTTCTTTTTCATCTACCTTGTTCTTGGATAGGCAGAATTAATATCATCAAAAAAAAAAAAAAAAAAAGACCATACTACCAAAAGCACTATACAGATTCAATGCAATCCCATTCAAAGTCCCAATGACATTCCTCATAGAAATGGAAAAAGCAATCATGAAATTCATCTGTAAAAATAAGAGACCCAAAATAGCCAAAGCAGTTCTTAGCAAGAAGAGTGAAGCAGGCGGCATCACTATTCCAGACCTTAAACTATACTTCCAAGCAATAGTAACAAAAACATCATGGTATTGGCACCAAAATAGACCTGTGTAGACCAGTGGTACAGATTAGAGGACACAGAGACAAACCCACATAATTACAGTTCTCTCATATTAGACAAAGATGCCAAAAACATATATTAGAGAAAAGATAGCCTCTTTAACAAAAATGCTGGGAAAACTGGAAATCCATCTGCAACAAAATGAAATTAAACCTCTGTCTCTTACCATGCACAAAACTCAACTCAAAGTGGATCAAGGACCTAGAATTAAACCAGAGAACTTGCACCTAATAGAAGAAAAAGTAGGCCCAAATCTCCATCATGTCAGATTAGGTCCCAACATCCTTAATAAGACTCCTTTGGTGTAAGAATTAAAACCAAGAATCAATAAATGGGATGGATTCAAACTAAAAAGCTTCTTCAATCAGTGAGGTGAATAGAGAGCCTACAGAATGGGAGCAAATCTTTACCACAGCACATCAGGTAGAGCACTAATCTCTAGGATATATAAAGCACTCAAAAACCTTGACACCAAAAAAACCAAATAACCCAATCATTAAATGGGCCAAGGAACTGAACAGACACTTCTCAGAAGAGGATATACAATCAATCAACAAATATATGCAAAAATGTTCAACATCTTTAGCAATTAGAGAAATGCAAATCAAAACTACTCTAAGATTTCATCTCACTCCAATCAGAATGGCAACTATTAAGAACACAAACAATGATAAGTGTTGGCAAGGATGTGAGGGAAAAGGCACACTCGTATATTGCTGGTGGGACTGCAAATTGGTGCAGCCAATCTGGAAAGCAGTGTGGAGATCCTTGGAAAACTGGGAATGGAACCACCATTTGACCCAGCTATACCCAAAGGACTTAAAAACAGCATACTAAAGAGACACAGCCACATCAATGTTTATAGCAGCACAATTCACAATAGCTAAATTGTGGAACCAACCCAGATGCTTTTCAGTAGATGAATGGATAGGGAAACTTTGGTATACATATACAGTGGAATATTACTCAGCATTAAAAGAGAGTAAAATCATGGCAGGTAAATGGGTGGAGTTAGAGAATATAATGCTACGTGAAGTACGCCAATCCCCAAAAAGCAAAGGCTCCATGTTTTCTTTGATATGAGGATGCTGACTCATAATGGCAAGGGAGGGGGTGGGGAGGAAGGAACTTCAGATAGGACAAAGGGGAGGGAGGAAAGGGAGGGAGCATGGGAGTAGGAAAGATGGTGGAATGAGTTAGACATGATTACCACCCTAAGTACATGTATGAAGACACGAATGGTGTCTTTGTGTACAGAATACTTTGTGTACAACCAGTTACTTGAAAAATTGTGCTCTATATGTGTAATATGAAATGAATTGCATTCTGCCATCATATATAACAAATTAGAATAAATAAATAATTTAATTTTTAAAAAAGTTTGTTCTTTTTCAGTAAAGGTGCTGGAATTTTGAGAGGCATTGTATTGAATTCATTGTTCAATTTATGTAAATTCATGACTTAATGATATTGAGTCCTCTGACCAGTGAAAATGCATACTTCTCTGCAATATTTTATAGTTTTTAATATATAGGTTTTGTCATCTTTTGTCAAATTTATCCCTATGTACTGAAGTTTTTGATGCTGTTATCAATGGTATTCTTTTACTTTCAGTTTGACTTTTTTCTTTTTTTTTAATTTGTTTTAATTAGTTACACATGACAGTACAATGACCTTGACATATCATATATTTGAATCAGATGGGATATGATTTATCATTTTTCTCAGCATACAGGTTGCAGAATCACATTGGTCATGCACTCACGTATATACATACAGCAATAATAAAGTCTATTTTATTCTGCTGTCCTTCCTTTCCCTCCACCCCTCCTCTCCCCTCCCCTCCCCTCCCATCACTTCTCTCTACCCAATCTAATGTGACACACTTCTTTCTTTTTTTTTTTTTTACTTTTTTCATTACTAATATATAGAAATTTTTTTTTGCATGCCACCTTGTTAAACTCATTAATTACAGTAAATTTTAGGTAGGTTTTTTAACTTAGACAATCTTATTATCTGAATGAAATGCAATTTTGCCTCTTCTTTCTAATCTGGATGCCTTTCGTTTCCTTTTCTTGCTTTAGTGCTCTCACTAGAATTTCCTAGAGAATTGAGCAGAAGTGATAAGATGGGAATTGACATCCTATCTTGTTCCTGTTCTTGGGGAGAAAACATCTTTTATATGAGTAAGACTTTTTAAGATTTTTTATAGGTGTAGATGGACACAATACCATCTATTTATTTATTTATTTTTATGTGATGCTGAGGATCGAACCCAGTGCTCATACAAGCTAGGCAAGTGCTCTACTACTGGGCTACAAGCCTGTCCCCCATATTTTTTAATAGGTATCTTTGTCAGGATGTTGAGAATGTTCATTTCCATTTCTAGTTTGCCAAGAGATTTTATTGGAATGGATACTAGGTATTTTTTCAAATGCTTTTTCTGAATCCACTGATATGATCATGTTTTTTTTCAATTTTTACTTTAATAGGGAAAATTATGCTGATTATGCTGATTAATTTTCAGATGTTAAATCCACCAGCCTTTCTGAGATAAACTCTACTGTGTAATATAAACCTTTTTCTACATTGTTGAATTTGATTTTATCCAAGTTTGCTTAAAATTTTAATATCTGTGTTCATGAAACCAACCATCCCCTTTCTTTTTTACTTGCTTTCTTCTAATGTCTGTCTGATTTTTGATATCAGGTAATGCTAACCTCTTAGAATTACGTAGGAAACATTTTGTCCTCTTGAATTTTTTGTGAGTGTTTGTGTAGGATTGGTATATTTTGTCCTTTAATTGTTTGGTAGAATTCACCAGTGAAGCCAAGTGGACCTGGAGTTTTCTTTGTGGAAGGATCTTAAACTACAAATTCAACTTCTTAAATAGAAAGCTATTCATTACTTTGTTGTGTACTTAAAGAGTAATCTCTTTAGATCTTAAATTCCCAGAGTTCTTTCTCTGTGAAACCTTCTCTCTTATATAGATTGAGCATTGCTATTTCAAAGATGTGAAGTTTGCAATGCTTGGAAATCCAAAACTTTTGAGCATTGTCATGAAAAACTTATAGATTTTGGAGCTTTTCCGATTTTTGATTAGGATGCTTAACTATTAAAGTCTATGCAAATATTCCAAAATCCAAGGAACTCCCAAATCTGAAACACTTCTGGTACCAAGCACTTTGGATAACCTGTATTGTTTCCTGCCAGTTCTACTTCAGTTGGTCTCCACCAAATCTCTGCTCCATCTTTTTGTTGCAGCCTGATGGTGTTTGCCTCATGTTCTCTCCCTGTACCATGAGCTGAAAAGTCTCTCCAGTCATTCAATGGAGGCAGTCCTAGAGCTTATCTCATTTGTGCCATATCTCTAGTCACCATTATCTGATGTCTGATGGCCTACACACTTGACTTATTTGGGTTTTGTTTGTATCTTTATGGGCATAAGCAAAAGTACTCTTAAGTTGCCCCACTTGTGATGTTTTAAACTCAAGTATCTTACTCCAGCTACAACTGTTCTTTGACCTCATCAAAACTTCTATTCTATCAACTCTTTATTGTCTTCCATTCTCCTAATGCTTTCCCCATTCATTTTTATTACTTTCTTGCATAGGCTATAACTGCTGTGCATTATCCATCTACTCTTTTGTAATTTATTAGTATGATTATTCCCCTACTTCTATATAGCATATGCCCAGTAACACCTTATCCAGGGATCAGCTGCTTACTTTGCCTTTACTGTTATGCTCAGAGCCTGTTGTCCCATACCCACAGATCTCAACTGGATAACCACCTCAAACTCAAGGTTAACTAATAACCAGTATGTGGCTGACCTGGGAACTGAACCCAGGCAGTCTGGTTTTGTTGTCCATGTTTTTAACTATTCCCTAAAAAACAGACTTGCAAGAAAGGAAAATTATAAACTCATGTTACTTATGTGTATTGGAACTAAAATCCAAAATACAGTTTTAACAAATTCAGCAGTGAATTTGTGTGTGTGTGTGTGTGTGTGTGTGTGTGTGTTTATGTACATATACATACATTTATTTAATTATTGGGCTGATTCAAGCAATGAAAAGATAGCTTGCCATTATAAAATTATATAGTTTACAAAAGAATATTTAGATTCACGAAGAAACATCAAATTATATCTTAGAGAACTCAGTATGGTAAATATGTCAGTTCTCCCACAAATTAATGGATAGATTCAATGCAATCCATTTTGACAATCTAGTTCTAAAAGCTTTGTGAACAAGTAATCAAGAGTTTAAAGAGAAGCCAGGTGGGAAATTTCATTTTACTAGGTATTAAAACTTAACATCCAATTATTCACTCARTATAATCTTTGCAAATTGATAGATCATGGGTCAGTGAAATAAAAATTCAGAAATGGATTCACACGTTCATAAATACTTATTATAAGATAAAGCAATATACAAACCAGTGGGAAGAGTTCAAATTGCTCAGTGAATGATACTAGGATAATTGGCCATCCAAACAGGAAAGAAAAATAAAAGTATCTTTCCTACAGTATGTAAAAAAATCATCTCCAGATTGATTGAAGGAATAAATTTTCTTTAAACTTTCAGAAAAAAGCATAAGAGGGTATCTTTATGTCTTTAGGATGGGGAAGATTTCCTCAATAGAGTTTTTTTTTTTTTTTAGTGAAAGGACAAAATATATGAATAGACTACATTAGAAATAAAAACTTGGTTATCACAAAAGACATCATCAATAAATGACTACACCAGTTACAGAAGCAACTGGTTAATATGTATGTATTTGGTTATCTGTAACATAACACAACAGAAAATATGAATATAAAGCCTAGTGAAGTATTACAAAGTACAATACTTATGAAACCACAACTAAGGTCAAGAAATAGAACATTGCTAGAACTTCAGAACAACCACTCCTTCTCTTCAAATATAGTCAAAGGTAACCAGGGTCTTTAATTTTACACTATAATTTAGTTTTACCTGGGTTGAAGTTTAAAATACAAGATCATAAACTGTTTGTTCTTTTATGTGTGACTTGTTTTCTCCAACCTGAGATTTCAGATTTATTCATATCATTGTACATAGACATAATCTGTTCATGTTCATTACTCTTGGCTATTTTCTTTGCATTTCCATCTATATTTTAGAATCAGATTTTCAATTTCTACAATTTTTTTGAGTATGATCGGAATTGCACTAAATCTATAGATCAGTGTTGGGAGAATTGACAGTTTTACGGTAAACCATGAATATCTCTTAAGTCATTTATCTAGGTCTGTAATTTCTCTCTCCTGGGTGTTTTAGGTTTTTTTTTTTTTTTGTGTGTGTGTGTGTGTGTGTGTGTGTGTGTGCACGTGTGTGTGCATGTGTGTGTAAGGGTCTTACACTTCTTTGGTTATATTTATTCCTAGGCATTGATGTTATTTGATGATACTGCAAATGACATCTTTTATTGTTTTCTAGTATTATATAACCTGTCACTTTTTTGTATAATTATTTTTTTATTTCTTGTCTAACAACCTTATTAAACTCGATTATTGATTTTAAGATTTTTTCCCTTTGTATTCTTTTGCATTAACTGCATACACACTTTTAATTATAAAAAATAACAGGGTTTTCTTTATTTATGGCCTCTATACTTTTTGTTTCTTTTAGTTATTGCCTTATTGCATTAACTTACACTTCCACTAGAGTGTTGAGTAAATATCATGAGAATTTATCCTTGTGTCAGCCTGATTTCCAAGAGAAAGTTTTCAACATTTTTATCTTACTATGATATTTATTCTGTGCTTTTGTAAGTTTTCATTATCATATTATGAGATACTTTGTCATAAAATTATCTTGAATTTCATCAATTCTTCTTTGACATTCTTGCTTTTTTTTTTTTTTAATATACTGGGATTGAACCCAGGGGTGCTTAACCACTGCACATCCCCAGCCCTTTTTATTTTAAAACAAGGTCTTTCTAAGTTGCTTAGGTCCTCATAAGTTTTTGAAGCTGGCTTTCAACTTGTGATCCTCCTGCGTCAGCTTCCTGAGACTCTGGGATTGTAGGTTTGCACTACCATGCCTGGCCGAGATTAGTAGTTTTGATCTTCTTTTTGTAAGTTTATTTTGTATTTGTCCTCTGGGTTTATCTTTATTATTTCCCTCATTTAACTTTCTTTAGGTTTAATGTGCTGTTCTTTTTTTTTTTTTTYCCCCAGCTTTTTTGGAATGGATTTGTAGCTTCAGGCTTTCCCCCGCCCCATTACAGATTGAGCATTTCTAATCTGAAAATCCAAAATCCAAAGCTTTTTTTTCCCCATTTACAGTGGTTAGGTTGTATAGGTATACAAAAGGGACTCATTTTAAGTTCTTAAATAGTATGTTGAAATTAATTGTTCATCTTATGTTGAGGAGCAGTGGAAGTGGACTCTAGCCATTTTTCACAGGTTATATCAAATAACTACTACTATTTGTCTAGTTTTAAAAAGCTGAACATTACCCAATGAGCTTAAATTGGTTTTTCCCTTTGTTTCAGATCAAAGACTAAATGAAGATTTTGGGACACATCAAATGGAAAAATTTTCCAAACATTCATCTATACAGGTATGTAAATTAATTAAGGTCTAATGAGCCAGATTCATATTTAGTTGTAAATATATCTATATAAATCAATATACATATAGTATAAGTTCTACTTAAAATTATTCTCATGTGAAGTTGTCTACAACACTTTGAAATTTTGCTTACAACTTTGATTCTTGTAAGAGGAAAGTTTGTTTTTGCTTGATGAAAATACACTTCTTGTCCACAAGAATTGCTTATTTTCCCTCAATGTTGGAGGAATGCGTGGTGTTAAAATGTCTTGTGAGTTCCAAATATAAAATTCATTCAGGTTTTCAAACATCCTAAATTTGTTTCTAAAAATGTATCTAGTTGTGTGCTATAACTCTCAATTCTCATAAATTGTGACAGAAGTATAAATTAACTCAAATAGTAATATATAGAATTTTTAAAATATTTATTTCCTTGAATATCATGTTTTAATAAAAATTTTGGGTGTAAAGAAGTTTTTTAACCATTAAGATTTCTTATTGAACTCCATGTATAGAGTATTAAAAGAACAGTGGTGGCTCCTAGATTAGCAATGGTTCTCTTCTGAAACAATGAATGTTTTGTTTTGCCTAAGTGTATCTTATAATTGGAACAGAAATGTTTTTAATGTATAAAAAATGAAGAAATCGTTTTTGAGGTATTAGAAAGGGCCAGTTTATTGTTGGCTTGAATATAGTTATAATTTTTTTAATGTATCCTCAATGTTCGGTTGCTGCTCTGTGTTTTTACTTCCAACAATTGAACTCAAGAGTCCATAGAATCCTAAAGCCATCCATCCTCTATTCACTGTGATTATCATGTTATTTTTTATATATATTACTTTTTAAAAAATATTTATTTTTTAGTTTTCAGCGGACACAACATCTTTATTTGTATATGGTGCTGAGGATCGAACCCGGGCGGCATGCATGCCAGGCGATCGCGCTACCACCTGAGCCACATCCCCAGCCCCTATATATTACTTTTTTATGGAAACTTAACAAAGAACTATAATCATTTAAATGATAGAAAATCTTTCATAATCCAACAACCTTTAATTTCATTAGTTTCTTAGGGTTTTTGATTATTCTGTTTTGTTGTGCCTCTGCTGAATATTTTGTAGCATAGACCTGAAAAGATCTCTGGGCAAGTTATTGCAATACATCTGCTTGAAGCTATGACTGACTTGATTATTAATGATGGTTTTACCAGATAGCGTAGCAGTGATCCAGATAGCCCTTCAGATGTACCTGCATTATGCATTGTGATTATAATTAGTTGAAGCCTGAGGGTAGCAGACCAAGAGGGACAAATCTGCACTCACCCAAAAGTATACCCTTTCAGAGCAATTATACCTCTTTTAATTCTCTGAAGGTGCAGGTTCTCTTATACACACATCAGTCAAATCCTGATTCCTATCTCTTATTTTTAGTGGTAGCATTTTGTTCCTGCCTAAGATTCCTCTACAGTCCCCCATGTCTTTAGCACATGTTGCTGTTTCAAAACTCCCATCCCCATGGGTCTTGCTTTTTACTACATAGTTTGTGATCCTGAGAAGGGAGGTGATACAAAAGCAGAGAGGGAGATTAGTCTGCTTTCTCCATAATGCCCATAGTCTCGGCCTATGCAGTGAGTGTTCCTTTTGAGGTTCTTTACTCCAGAAACATTAATTGAATTTCTGGGAAAAAATCCTCAGGAGAACTTTGTTTTTTTGTTTGTTTTCTGTTCATTTTATAGTAAGGGAAAAAGTACACAGGAAATATTATCAAGGAGCACCRGGGACCCAGAAGCACGGGCTCAGATCTCTTGTCACTGTCATTTGGTTGCTACTGCAAGCAGTAGAAATCCTTCATGAATTTTTTACCTCCTTTGTACAGCTATGTGTCCCAGATGTCTAGAACAGTTCTTATCAGGAGGTGCTTGATCAATATTTCTTGATTTTTCCCCTCCATCCCTACCTGATGATCTTTCAACATGATTTAAATTGTCACATATAGTGAAAGTTAGGGAGATGTGAAATGTTATGATCAGCTTAGGAAATACAAGTGCGTATTTTGTCATTTTATTTTTCAAGATGGTACATGAGGTACCCTAGAATTACCAGGACTTGTGTTAGATGAACATATTTTATGGTTTTCCAATATTGGAAAAATAAAGTTGCAGGAATTTGATATTTCTTGTATTTTTAGTTTGAACTTCAAAAATATTTTTTGTGAATGAAAATTAGATGTGTAATGGTGAAAAATCCTTTAGTGGTATTAGTATAAAATGTTCATGTGAGCTTATATTGGAGCAAAGTAAGTTTTGTGAATTGCTTTTTAAAATGACCATTTGAAGAGTATTGTTCTTAGAAGAATACATGTTATCTTTAGAACTAGCTATACTTAAATTCTATGAACATCTCTGAATATTGGAGTCTTTCAATAGGTTGAAAAACTTATATATTTAATATATTAAGTATCTGGCTCATTATATATTCATAATATAATCAGCTTTTTAAAAAATCTTATTTCTGCATTTATAATTATTTGTAATTTTTTAAAGATATTTTAAATAGTAACTATTTATTAAATGATCACTTCAGGATTCTTATGAAATTTAGTTTCTTTTTTAATTATTTTTTTATTCTCTAAGTAGAAAATATTTCCAGTGGCATTGTACTCTGAAAGTGTCGTAATGGGCACTAGATGAAAAATATACAAAGATTAGAAAATATTTCATTTAAGGAAGTGAGTGGGAAATTAATTTCTGTCTTTTCCTAATTCTTTCTTCCTGTTTTTTTTTTTGTTGTTGTTGTTGTTGTTGGTTGTTTGTTTATTTCTACTGCATACTTGCCTTTTCTTGCACCCAGGCTAGTTGAATCCTCTTTGTAACCTGTGCCATGGCAGTATGTGTGTACTGAGAGGCGAGGCTAATATTTTGGCTCTCTCTGGATATGCTGAGGAGACAGGGTGAAATATTAAAAATAAGTTACTTTTTCTGAAAGCTATCCTAAAAATATATTCCTCCTCTATCTTGGGAATTCTCTTTTTTCTCATTATCCCTTGTAAACAAAATTAAAATTTAAAAAGAATAGTCTGCTAGGAAAAAAAAAGACATGTTAAGCTGCAATTAAAAGGATGTAAGGAATAACCTAAAAGCACAATGCCAGAGCTGTGTGAGTGTGTTCTGGTGGGGAAGGACATTGGCTTACTCAACAAACACTAATTTATTCACTCAACGTACGCCTGTGCTAGGTAAGCTCTGGAGCCAGAGCTATGAAAAAGAGAGATGAAGGATCCTCCTCCCTTGGAAGAGATATGAATTAATTAAATAATTAAAATTACAAAATTCTACAAAGAAAATAAATAGGGAACTGTGATACAGTCTTTGTAGGCCGTCGGGTAACAGAGACCTGTTTTTGGAAGGTCAGAGAAGGCCTTTCTAGCTCAAGATAGAACAGAAAATAAAGAACTAACCAAAGACTGTACCAAGAAGAGGCCCTGAGAAAGGAAAGGATTTGGCATGTTTTATGCAGTATGCAGGAGTTGTTCCCAACTCAGATCAAATAGTGGATGTATGAAAATTGCATGGAAGCAGACACTAAGGTGCTGTGGGTTAACAGATAAGACTCAGCAGGTTAAATACAGCACTCTATCTGTACTCTTTGACTTGAGTCACATACTGAGCTTTCAGGACATTGTTGTCTGATAGAACTTTCTCTGATGGAAATATACAATTGTGCACTGTCCATTTTGGTGACTACTAGTCTCATGAAGCTTTGAGCATTTGAAATTAGGCTAATACACATGAGAGAGTGAATTTTTAAATTTAATTTGGCTTTTAAATGAATGAAATTAGGTTTGGCTAGTCTTATATGCTTATAGCTCTTGCATTGATCAGTGTAGTTCTAGACTTCCAATCTGATGAATCATCCATATAAACCCTCGAAGCACTGATTTTTCATTATCCTATGACAGTAAGATATTATTTAACACATTTTTTAAACAAAGATCCAACTGAGTTTAGCAATTTCTTATGCTGTTTATCTTATTCGGTACTGATAAAAGATGAAAATCACTCTCCCTATGATCTGAATGAAAAGCTTAAAGGATTTGCTGAAATCCTCTAAAATGTACAAGAACATCATCACAAAATGCTAGTTAGGCTGTACTTTATTTGGGGAATAAATGGATGGGGAGTATGCCATTTACTTATTTGATAGACAATACTGATTAGAATCAAAGGCAAAATTAAAAACTCAGAATTGTAATTAGAATGTTTGATGAGTGCATAATTTTGTTAGAGGAAGAAAAATATCCAGAGAATGTGCTTACCTAACTGCAATCTATTGACTTTTTTTTTCTGTGTTTCACAATCACCATCATCTTACAAAGTCATCATGAAATCAAAGATTAATAGAAATTAATGAGGATCAGGTGTTTTAAAGATTCACTATATATAAAGTTCTATAAATATTTTGTTTATTTAGCATAGTTTGTTCATTTTTTTAAAGAATGTAGAAAAGTCATTTATAAATGTTTATATAGTCAGTTTTAGTCTTATTCTGCCCAGCATGATTTTTTTCAACTACATCTTGTATTATTAAGTAATGGAATCTTTTTTTCTAAAAATTTCACTATCAACTGGGAAGGAATTGCTAAATCTACATTTTTTATTCTTCCAAAGACTTTTTAAAAATATAAGTAAATTTATCATGTTTATTCTAGGAATCTTACACCTTTTATAATTGCTTTGGATTATCAGGTCATTCATTTTTATTCCTCAGCAACTGTTACTACAATATATTTTTAAACATTGTTTTCACAGAATTCAATTTATTAATACTTATTGAGTACTACATTTATGCAAGGAACCATGCCAAGTTCTTTAGTGATGTGAATAAAATAAAATGACTATACCAAAGGAGCTTAAAAACAAGATGTGGGGATACAAATATTAAATATCTGGGTAAAAGGGTATGTAATTATATCTTAAAAGCATTGAAACCAAATATGTCACAAAAGAAATAT